AGACCAAGCATGTCATCAGTTGATGCCCTCGCCTGTCTGTTACCTCCGCTGCACTACCCGCTGTCCATCACAACCGATTTCATCCGAAGCCAAAACCGCCGAGCCTGTCTTCATCATCTCTACCGTCCGAAGCCTCCTTGCTCGCCGTGAGTTAGGCCGTCCTTCAATCCAGCCAAGCTCGTCGCCGCGAGTCATTCAAGACCGAGTCAGCCGAGCCCTCCACCGGCTGAATCGCCGCCGTCTCTGCCATTCAGTCCACTTGTCTTTTAATTTGAAGCTTTTGCGGCCACAAGATTTCCTATTCTTGCAACCCAAAACTTGAATGCCCTTTAATTGGACTCAATTAGAGTAATTAGGAAAGGGAATTTCACCATTGCTCAATCTCTCAGTTCTTTCATTTCACCAGGGCTCGGCCGTGAGGAAAAAATGCTGCGGTGGAGAGGAGTGGACGGCAAGGATGAATCTAAGTTTCTTGTTCTGTAAATGGGTTTTTATTTTTTTATTTTGATTTTTTATTGTTGTTCTGTAAAATCCAAACAGATCAATGGAGGAAAAAGATGATGAGTGAAATAGTTAGGGCTTGATAAGGGTTGTAAAGTCATTTACATAAATTTGGCCTCTCACGTGCAAGGATATTGATCGGTCGTTTGCCGAATTGGGTAAAGTGCAATTAACTAAATAGTTTAAGGGGGTTTTTTGTTCATTTTGAAATTTAGGGGGGTTTTTTGCTCTTTGAGGTATAGTTTAGGGGGGTTTAATGCACTTTACCCTTTATTATTTAATTATCTATTTCATCTAATGATTAAATAAGGAGACCTTATGAATCTTTTCATGAAAGAGATCTCTCCAGGGAATTTTTTTTTTTTTAATATTATACCACCTGTAAAAAAAATTATTTTGAAATATATACCTATAAAAATTAACCATTGCCCCCACAGAAAATTTTGAAAATTAGCACTATTGCCCTCACAAATCCACATTGGGCTTCTTTAAAGAGAAAGGGCCAATGGCCCAAACCATTAAAAGCATCAATCTAACCATCAAACACATTCCACAGAAGGTCAAAGCCCATTCCTTTTCTCATTTAGTCATTATATTTTGCTTATTACAATGGTTTGAATTTTTTTTTTCTTTTCTTGTTGCTGTTGAAGGTTGTCCCCACTCACATAATTTTCTAGATTCATTCCAAGATCTCTCAAAACCATTTCTTAAAATTTTTGTCGATTATATTTGTTGTTGCTAATGTATAATTTTTGTCAATATTGATAAATTTGCAATACATATTTCACTTTTCATGAATAATTGAAGTCTGTTTCTGTAATTAAGTAACACACATATCACTGTAATTTAAATAAATAAAAGCTAATTTAGTTGCAAAAGGTATTCAGGTTATACTAAATAACAAATCGAATTGAAACAAAATTCCTAATTGTCTCCCTCTCCCTCTCCCAAGCTATTTTAGCAGGACAACGACCTGCAAACACCTGCCTTTATAATTTCTAACCACCTCCACGCTTCCTGGAAATTTTGTTACAGAGATAAATCCAAAATTTTACACACAAAAAAATAAAAAATAAAAAAAGGGCATTTCACCTAATAAAGAAAATACGGAATTACTAAATTACACAAAATCTCTCTGAAAACTCTTCATTAATCATTTAATTGTCTGCTTTCTTCTAAACCATTGGATTAATGTTAATCTGAGCAAATCACTGGTGATTAGTCTTCAATATGTGCAAGTACTTCGCTTTCCGATCTCTCCGCGGTAGGCTGCAATGTCGTAGTCTCTCACTAATGGGAAGACCGGCACGTGTTGAAACAAAGAGAGTGGTAAGCACTACTGTTAGGGCTGCAACTTGGGCGGGCTAACCTAGCCCAACCCAAGCCCAACCTAGAAATTTTGAAATTGGGGCTTATATTCACAAATCGGGTTCATATTCGAGTTGGGTTTTGTCAAAACCCAGACAAATTCAGGTTGGGCTCGGGCTCAACCCGAACCCAACCCAAAACCCAATTTTTTTTTTTTTTTCCTCCTTTCTCTCTCCTCTCTCTTTCTCTATCCACCACGTCCATGGGTGAAGCTTGAGAGTTGAGAGGGGGGCTTAAATTTTATTTTATTTTCTTTTCTCTCTCCTCTCTCTTCTCTCTTCTCTTTCTTTTTCTTTTTCTTTTTCTTTCTCTTTCTCTCTCTTCTTTTTCTTTCTCTTTCTCTCTCTGCCGCCGTCCATTTGCGAAGCTTGAACAATCTGGGTTTTGATTTTTTGAACAAATCTGAAATGATATGGCGAAGCTTGAACCAATCTGGCGAAGCTTGAACAAACGGAAATAGCGGGCGATGGAAACTGAAAGATTTGGGTTTTGATTTTTTGAACAATCTGATATGATATGTCGAGGTTTTGATTTTTTGAACAATCTGAAATGATATGCCGATATGGGTTCTTGAACTTTTGATTCTTGCATATAGATAGATAAAACTGAAATATATGGGTTTTGAACTTCTGATTCTTGTAGATTTTGTAATTTACATTTGGAGAGAGAGAGAGAGAGAGAATGGAGATGGAGGCGATAGGGGGGCTGAAATGATTTGCCCTAAAAATATATATAAATTTAAAAATAAAAAAAAAATTTAAAATCTCAACCCGTCAACCCGACCCAACCCATCCGAAAATATTTGATTCGGGTTATTATCATAACCCATGTTGAGTACAATTCGGGCTGGCCCAACCCAACCCGCTTCGGATTGAGGTTGGGTTGGGACTGGGCTGGGCCCAACCCAAGTTGCAGCCCTAACTTCTGCCTATTCTGCCAAAATTTTGTTAAAATTAACATGCCAAGTTAACATGTCAGAAAAATCATGAAACAAGGAGAAACTCTTCCGAAATTTTGTTAAAATTAGTTTAGACTCAAAATTATTTTTTATTTGCTACATACATATAGTGTATCCAGGCTGTACTTCTGTGCTGCAGATGGTCGATTGGTTTGGTTTGCAAACCACTACCAATTCTACTAAATCAAAAGTGTTGAGTGCAATTTTTTCAACTGCGATTTGGAAAATTTGGGCTGTTAGAAATGAATCTTTGCACAAGGGAGGTCACGAGCAAGCCACACATGTTGCTCAATTTATTGTTTGGGAGGTTCTATCTCATCTCAAGATTCGTTTGGAAGACTTACTTAGCTTTTTTTAATGCTGTTCAGTTTTGGTCGCTGATCAAGTGGAATTGGAGTTTTGTCTCATCGGATTTCAAGATTGATGTTTTGAGAAGACCTTTCAATTTCTTTGTTGTTGGTTTTTGCTGCTGGTTTGAGGAAGATTGTTGCAGAGATGGAAGCTTTAGAGCAGGATTTTTCTGTTTTATTTTGTTTTTGTTCCTTCTAGTTCACTCTAGGCCAGCTTGTTTTTCTTTTGCTGCTTTGAAAATGGACTTAGTCCATTACTTGCTTTGTACTGGAGGATGTCCTCCATGTTTTTGTAATTGTACTATTTGGTTTTTTCTTATATAAAACAAAAATCCCATTCAGGAAAAAAAAAAAAAAAAAAAAAAAAAAAAAAAAAAAAAAAAAAAAAAAAAAACAAACTCAACCTTAGGCTAAAACCATAATTTTAACGAGTTTTGTAGGCTGCAATGTCGTAGTCTCACCAGTGGGAAGACCGGGGACTACGGCACGTGTTGAAACAAAGAGAGTGGTAAGCACCCCACTTAGCCAACAAAATTTTCAACCTTAATTAGAATCCCCTAATGTGTGCATTCATACTTTGAATAATCTGATTTGTATTCTTAGGAATCATATTTAGTCAACATCTCAGAAAAATCATGAAACAGGGAGAAACTCCGCCGAAATTTTGTTAAAATTAGTTTAGACTCAACCTTAGACTAAAAGCATGATTTTAACAAGTTTTGTAGATTCTCTAGCATGTTTAGGTTAATTTAATCATTTAGGATCATGCACCTTTAGGTCCCATTCATTAGGCTAAGCTTTAGGACACTACTCCTATTCTGCCAAATTTTTTTTTTTTTTCAATTATTGGTTCAATTCAAGTTTTGTCCGAATTATGACAGTATCACTGTTTTGTCTCAATTTTTTATATTTTAATGCTTAGGTTAATTCACATTTTGGCATCTTAGTTAATCATTTAGATTCTAAAAAAACAAATGCTGCCGAAATACCAGGCAGTACCGTATGATTCATTATTATTGTCTACGAACTGGGCAAAGATATGAAGGGCTGGGTTTTCAGTTAGGGGGTCAAAAGCAACACAAACGACATTCCCCAAAATTCTCTCCTTATACCAATCTGGAGGCAGTTGCACAGATGCTTTCTTACCCCAATACCGATGCCTGAACCACTCTGGCATCTCATTTCCGGGTAAAATAGTAGTCAACTTGTCCATTATACGATCATTTTCCTGTACCAAGAAAACATGTCATTCATTCATATAGATACATACATGTGCATATACATACATACATACATACATATATATACATACATACATACATATATATATATATATATATATATATATAAAGGGAGAGAGTAACCTGAATAGAATATTGCAGCGCAAATATCAGCAACATATCAATCACTTTTTCAAACCCTTCATTCTGTAACAGCTTAAAGCAATTACTGAATGCAACAAAACACAGTGATCTATTATACTTTGCATACAGATCTCCGACACTTATTAATGGTTGGCAATCATCTGCATATAATTTGAAAATACTTGATGGAAGCTCTGGTAATGCTTTTAGCCTCTTGCAGCCTTGTACAAGAAGGATGTGAAGTTGAGAAAGTCGGGAGATGCTTGCAGGTAAACTAACAAAATTGTTTCTGCTTAAATTCAGCTTTCTCAAAGAGGATAAGCTGCCAAGGTCACTGGGGATCCCTCCAGACAGATAGCAATCACTAAGATCAAGTTTTGTTAAGGAATATAAACCTGTTAAAGAAGGAAGCGACAAACACACAGAATATTCACGTTTCCTTGGTAAAAACCAAGAGGATGACTGAGTCGACTTTCTTCCCCTGCATCCACTAAGGGATAAAACTTTGAGGTCTTTCAAAAGAGTAACTGAGGATGGTAGTCGTTTGATAGCAGTTTTATTTGCGTGAAGCTCCTCTAAACATTTTAAATTTCCCAGGCCTTCTGGCAATTCCTCAAGTTTTGAGCACAGCCAGAGAGTTTAAGAGTTCTCAGACAGCTCAACCTACAAATGGTTTCTGGAAGACTTGTAAGGTCTTTACATTCACTCAAATCCAACAAAGTAAGGCTAGTGAGATGTTCAATTGATGCCGATTGCACTTCTTTAATGGCAGTCCTATCCAAATAAAGTACTGATAGACATACCATATCCCCAAAAATTTCTGGAAACTCTTCAAATTTCAAACACCCAGAGAGTTTAAGAGTTTTCAGACAGCTCAACCTATAAATGGTTTCTGGAAGACTAGTAAGGTTTTTGCATTCACTCAAATCCAACAAAGTAAGGTTACTGAGATGTTCAATTGATGACGAGGGCACTTCTTTTATGGCAGTTCTATCAAAATAAAGTTCTGATAGATGTACCATACCCTGCAAGATTTTTGGAAACTTACTTAATTTCAAGCAGCCTGACAGAATAAAAGTCTCAAGATATTTCGAGTGAATACTGCTTGGAAATTTCTTAAAATTTGTGCAATCTCTCAAATTTAATAAAACAAGCCTTTTGAGAGCTCCAAGGGATGGGTGAACCACCTCCAAACTAATACAATCCTCAAGAATCAGTGTTGTCAGCTTTGGAATGACTGTGAAGTCTGGGGTCCTGAATAGCCTATGGGAGTGACTGAGGTTGATGACTTCAAACTTGGGCAGAGTCTGTTGTGAGAAATGGAAAATATTAGAATAACTGACTCTCACGAACATGATAGTATTCAACAAAGTTATAATACATACAACTGATCGTACCTTTATTTCCTTCCAAAGTCCTACAATGCGGTTATAACGCATTTTGAATTCAACAAGATTCTCTGCCCGAAAACTTACTGGCAGATAGCTTGAAGGGTATGCATGCCAATCAAGCCACCTCAACTCATTTGAAAGATGTGCAGGACCAAGAGAAAACAACACATTGTGCAATATGAGAAGCCTTAGTTTGGTCATCTTTGTGAAGGCTTCCATACTACAGTTGACATCTTTCGGTGGAAACTGTTTGAATACTATGCCTTTAACATTTTCTGTCCCCTAACAATCAGTAACACAAAGCATAAGTTAACAACACAATATAATATGAAATGTCTCTTAGGATAATAAAACTGTGGCTTCTTCAATAAAATTTTGTATAAAAGAACTGCTTTTTTTTTTTTTTTTTTTTTTTTCACAAAACATCTTACTGTATTTTCTGCCAACACTGAACGAATATCCTTAGGGCGCCACAACCTGTTACGTTTTCCACCTTCCTCAAGAGATTCTTGATCAACAATATACCAACCCATTTCTTGTATCAAATGATGCATACGAAGCGTATTTTTTGAAACAGGTATGAGAGACTTTTCTATAAGAACAGACATTTCAATCCCTGGGAAGAAGCCGCAACTCTTGAGTATTCTTTCTACATAACTCTTGTCTTCCCCATTGAAGAAACATGCAATATCAAGGAAAATTTCCTTCTGCATTTCATCTAGTCCGTCAAAACTGATTTTGAGCACTTGAATAATTTCTTTGTTAGGAATTTTATGCAGCTTACTCAATGTGCTTTTCCATTCATGAGTTGTTCGACCATATAGAAAAGAACCCAAAATTATAAGGGCTAATGGAAGCCCACGGGCATAATCTACTACCTGGTTTGAGAGCTCCAAATACCCTTCAGAAGGAAATCTTTGATGAAATGCTTTCCAAGAAAGGAGCTGGAGTGCTTCACCACATTCCAATGCCTTCACATTGTATATTTTAGTCACTCCATAAGTGGTTAGCAGATGTTCATCTCTTGTTGTTATGATGATTCTACTCCCAAAACCAAACCAATCAACCTTTCCTAATGCTTGTAGTTGTTCTAGATGATCCACATCATCAACAACGACAAGAACCCGACTGTGACATAGCCTGTTCTTTATCATACTTACTCCTCCACCAACAGATGTAATCTTTATATTACTTCGATATAAGGTATCTGAAAGTAGTTGTTCTTGTAAAGCTTCCAAACCTTTATTTTTTGAGAATTCTCTAACATTTGCAAGAAAGCATCTACCGTCAAACTGTTGGGAAATCCGATCAAAAACAGCTTGGGCAATAGTCGTCTTTCCTATGCCCCCCAATCCCCATAGACCTACAGAGCGAACATCATTCAACTCCATATGTAACAATGATTTCACTTCCTCCACAATGGACTCTATCCCAATCAGATCATCAGCAACAATTGGAATTAAATGGCTCAGTTTGCTGAAAATATCTTCAATAATTTGTTGGATACATCTTGACTCATACCAAAAAGTTAGAAAGTTGCCTATATGGTGAGTTGGAATAAATCATTACGAGACAAAGAAAACTAATAGATGTTGTGATAGTTAAATGTTGTTTTTGCAACTAAACATACACAAATTGATTACAAATCGGATGGTTCGGAGTAATGGATAGAACAATAGATCAAAGTGTATTGACACCTACGCTGACCTGGTTCACACACTAGATATCTTACTTTGGTAAGTACATTGATTACAAATAAAAAAAAAGTACCTCTGGTTTTCCCAAATATTGAACACCTTGTCTTAAAGAACTGAAAAGAATTGTTATATGCCTTTCAGGTTTGAAAGAACTATTTGAGACCTTTCAAAAGACAGTAGAATAGCATACTTCTGGATAGAATAAACAAAATTGAAGTTTATCCGAATATAGGTCTAGAAATTAAAGTGTTGAATGATTTAGTATTAGGAATTACAATTGAGTTCCAAGTGACATAAAGAAACCATGGAGAGAAAAAACTAGTGTTTGAGATCCCCTTTTATAAATACTAGAAAAATGGATATGTTCAATGCACGTGACTAAAACCTTACAAATCATCAGAAATTTTAATTTTAAAACTAGCTGTAGGACAGTCTTTATATAAAATACATATATTAATATATACAAACTATTAATTTATGTTAGTTCAAAATTTGACGGTTTCTAATCATAAGAAGAATTTATAACAGTGGATCATCATAACTATTTCTGGAGAAATAAAAATGGACAAACAAAAAATTGAGAGAGTGGAGGAAAACTACAGAGATTTTCATTCAAATAGTATGACATCAACATCAAGATTTTTTTGTTCTTCAATAAATCCAATTGACATCAACATTAAAGAAGAAGCAAAGGATATTGAGTCCTAAAACATCAAGATTTTTTTGTTCTTTGATAAATGCAATGGACATCAACATTAAACCTGTGATCTTTCTTTTGAACTAAGAATAGTTGTTCCCTATGCCCTCTCTCTCTGTACAAATAAATATAAATAAGTAGCAACATGTTCTCCCATCTATATATTATTTCGCCGAAGTCTACACATCTTCTAAAAGTTCTTCTCCACTGTCATATTTCTAGTTTAGGCTTATATTTTGTTTATAGAAATTCTTGTTGGGGTTATAACTGGGTTCCAAGGAATTATAATCCTTGTCCAACAATGAATTATAATCCTTGGTTTAGGACTCTATATAGATACTTAGGTTATGAGATGAGACTTTTGAGATTGAGAGAGATGTAGCTTGTTAGGCAGCTGATGGATGTGCGAGGGTCTCTAGTCCTCTATGTCAAACAGCCCCTAGAGATATGGTTAGTGGTTAGTAGAATGGATGGAAGGACGAAGTCTCATGGAGTGGTACAAGTGAAAAGCTCGGGTATTGACCACGAGACCCTAAAGTGAGAGGTAGGTACACAGTCCAGTATTGGCCGGGTATTCTCTACAAAAAAAAAAAAAAAAAAACCTACAATGATATCAATATTATCCTATAACTGCCGAACTAGTAAAACTTTGTGTTCTTGTGTGATTGGTTTATTATTTGTTCTTGGATCTCCATTTGTGTTCATTTCTGCTATCCCAATAGTTTGGTTAGGCTTAGCAGCTTCCTTCTACTATTTGTTGACACTCATTTTGGTAAATTTTGAATTGATGATGTGGCAATAGATAAGGGTGATATTCCACGTAGATTGAAGTTGAAATTGCATGCAAAGATGGGAAGAGTAATTTGAATAAGTTGTGGATAAAGATCATTGTTTTAAGACTTATCTTTTAGTTAGTTTTAGTTGCATAATTATGTTATTTATAGGATTAGTTTATTTTGAATTAATAGTTGGTTAAGTGATAGAGTCGTAATGCAAGTAAAATACTTGCATATAGGAGTTTACTTTATGTAGTTTTCTATAAATAATGCTATAGGCATGCTTAGTAAGGGGTCCAGCACCCTCAAAATCATTATTATTATTTGTTTGCTTTCTCAAGCACTTCCCTCAAATAGTATCATTGCTATCTTTATCTCTCTCTCTATTTCAGTCTTATTCTATTTCTCTCCCCATATCTCTTTCTTCCTATCACTTTCTATATCTATTTCTTCCCCTTTCTATTCTCTTGTTTCGTTACTATAAATTGTTTACGGAAAGTCCTTTTAACTAAGGCATTTTTGAACCCAAAAGAGGAAATTATTTGTTCCCTTTTTCCTCGCATCGTCTGAGAGTCAACTTTCTCAAAGGGACTAACGTTGACTATTTACAATCGAACCACACAAGTGGTTCTGGCACGCCCGGCTTACATCAATTTGAGATAGGCTCCATAAAGCCGATTTTAGGGTTAACATTTTTGGCACGCCCGGTTTACATCAATTTAAGATCGGCTCTAGTCAGCCGATTTTAGCGTCAACATTCTTGGCACGCCCGGTGGGACCCCACTAGGTGAGTGATTTATAGTAAAAATATGCAGTCGGCTTCTCAGCCGATGTACTAGTATTCTAATCAGCCATACGATTGGCTAGATGATTATCGGCATGTTCCAGCAGTCGATTATCGGCAGACGCCAACAGTCGCCGATTATCGGCATGTTCCAGCAGCCGCCGATTATCGGCATGTTCCAGCAGTCGATTATCGGCAGACGCCAACAGTTACTGATTATCGGCATGTTCCAGCAACTGATTATCGGCATATTCCAACAGTTGATTATCAACATGTTCCAGCAGCCGCCGATTATCTGTATGTTCCAGTAGTCGATTATCGGCAAACGCCAACAGTTGCTGATTTTCGGCATGTTCTAGCAACTGATTATCGGTATGTTCCAACAGTTGATTATCAGCATGTTCCAACAGCCGCCGATTATCGGCATGTTCCAGCAGTTGATTATCGGCAGACGCCAACAGTTGCTGATTATCGGCATGTTCCAGCAACTGATTATTGGCATGTTCCAGTAGTCGATTATCAGCAAACGCCAAAAGCCGCTGATTATCGGCATCTTCCAGCAGCCGATTATCGACATGTTCCAGCAGCCGATTATCGGCAAGTGGTAAATCAACAAGTGGGAGAAATAAGATACCAACTAAATCTCCAAATGGGAGAATTTAAAGAGGCACTTGCCGATTATCGGCAAGTGGTAAATCAACAAATGGGAGAATTTAATGACGCATTTGACGATTATTGGCAGGAGAATCAGGAGATTAAATCAATGATGGCTCAGGCTTTAGCCCTAATCCAGGCCGAGGTAGTTCAGCAAGGTCCACCAGCACTACCAGCGGCTGCAGGGGGGCATGTGATTGCAAACCCCTAACAAAAGTTAGTTTATTCATACCCTCTACTTCAGCCTGCCGATTATAGTGAGGTCATGTTTACCGATTAATGGACTTTTGGGCGTAATTCAGTCATGCCGATTGAGCTGAAGGCAAAATCGGCTAAAAGACAATCGGCTGAAATGAAATCGACTGGAAGGAAATCAACTAAGACAACTCCTTGCTGGTACAATGTCATTCATCTAGTAGAAATAATAGGCAGATCGGCTAGAATGACGTTTCACAATAATTTAATTCATGCCGATCATGATCATGATTTGCTAGCGAAGTTAAAAAACGCATGGTGGGCAAGTCCTTCCTGGGTTTCTGGGCAAATGATATCGGCAAACTTTCTGAGAATCTAGGAAGAAGCCTAAATCGGCAGATTTTGCTAAATAAAGATCATCTTAGGGGTGATTTAGAAGAAATAAAGCTTTGGAACTCGCTGATTTGCAATCTTATTCCAATTGATTAACTCAAAATTTCCTTCTAATGTATTTTAAATTTTCAAATATCTTATCAGTTTGGGCGGCCGACAGCCGATAAGACATTTAAAATGGGGGGCATTGTTGACACCCATTTTGGTAAATTTTGAATTGATGACGTGGCAATAGAGAAGGGTGATATTCCACTTAGATTGAAGTTGAAATTGCATGCAAAGATGGGAAGAGTAATTTGAATAAGTTGTGGATAAAGATCATTGTTTTAAGACGTATCTTTTAATTAGTTTTAGTTGCATAATTATGTTATCTATAAGATTAGTTTATTTTGAATTAATAGTTGATTAAGTGATAGAGTTGTAATGCAAGTAAAATACTTGCATATAGGAGTTTGTTTTATGTAGTTTTCAATAAATAATGCTATAGGCATGCTTTGTAAGGAGTCCAGCACCCTCAGAATCATTATTATTATTTGTTTGCTTTCTCAAGCATTTTCCTCAAATAGCATCCATGCTATCTTTATCTCTCTCTCTATTTCAGTCTTGTTCTATTTCTCTCCCCATATCTTTTTCTTCCTATCTCTTCTCCCTATCACTTTCTATATCTATTTCTTCCCCATTCTATTCTCTTGTAACGTTACTATAAATTGTTTACGGAAAGTCCTTTTAACTAAGGCATTTTTGAACCCAAAAGAGGAATTTATTTGTTCCTTTTTTCCTCGCATCGTCTGAGAGTCAACTTTCTCAAAGGGACTAACGTTGACTATTTACAATCGAACCACACAAGTGGTTCTGGCACGCCCGGCTTACATCAATTTGAGATCGGCTCCATAAAGCTGATTTTAGGGTCAACACTATTTTTTCCATTTGAAGAATAAGGTAATATTTTGATTCCCACCTCCAACTATTTGATTTTAGCCTTTTGCTTGAAAATTTTCTCTTCAGCTAATCCAGAGTAATCTGTGATAAACATGGACATATTCATACACAAAACACACGCACGCACTTGTATATACTATAAACATACAATACAAAATGGATATGTTGTCACTTGGCCAGAATATTTTTTTATAATATTAATATGAACAAATTTTAGAGTTTTTGATTATTTTATTTTTTGATTTGGATAACATAATAAAAAAGGATTCAGTTTCAAATGAATTACATGCTTGATCTTAACAATAGAATTCTAGTCAAGTGAAATTCCAATCCAAATCAATTCCTATTTTATTTTATGTTTAAATTCATGATGCATAATGAGATTGAATAAAACAGCAAAAGGCTAACTAGAGTGAATTTTTGGAAATTACCCATTTGCTTTATCCTGTAGATTATGTCCGGCTATATTGGCTGCTTCTTCAAGAGCTGTCTTCCATCTCTGCACCTTCTCCTTCATCTTCCCACTGAAATCTTCTTCATGTTTTCTAAAAGCTGCTGCAAACCTCCCTGTTTGTTTCCGCACTTGCGAAGGATCCACATCATAGAATATTGGAACAACTGTTTGCCCCATCTTCTCCTTGTATTCAAGGATTTTCACCAGTTCATCCAAACACCACTTGGAGGAAGCATAGTCATTGGAGAACACGATGAGAGCGATACTCGATTCTTCGATTGCTTTCAAGAGTGCCGGTGAAATTTCTTCCCCTCTTCTGAATTGTTCGTCATCTTTGAAGGTGTAGATTCCACTCGGAGACAAAGCAGCAAACAGATGGTCTACAAAGTTCTTGCGAGTGTCTTCACCTCGGAAGCTCAAGAATTTGAGGGTATGTAGAAGTAACACTTGAATGTTCTACCCTTTCATAAGCAACTTCAACGCAATTTCTTAAACGCGTTGGAGAAGAATTTCTAGTGCGTGTGAGAATTGAGAGGAAGAAATTGACGAAGACTCTGTGGTGCACTTCTGATAAAACGAAATAGAAAATCTTTTTTAAAAAATTAATAATAAATTCTACTCATGTTTTCTACGAAGTAACTAGTTTGATAACAACGCAAACTGAAAATAAAAAACTTTTAAAAATATTCTGATTGGTTCTGAAAATTCAAAAAAAAAAATTGTTTTCAGATAATTATCTTTTATTATTTTTGGAAAACTGCTTTTATTCTCTGAATTCTTGAAAAATATTTTTAGATTCTTACTACTTTTTACAAATGTTTTCTAATTAATTCTAATTTTCTCAAAAACTTTTATTTTAATCTTTCTAATTTTTTATTATATATATATATAAATATATATATATATATATCTAATTTTCTCAAAAACTTTTATTTTAATCTTTCTAATTTTTTATTATATATATATATATATATATATATATATATATATATATATATATATATTTTCATTAGTAGTTCAATTAAACTCTATCTAGTTTGTGATTGTTATCTTTAATTTTTAGTTCATTAATAGTTTTAATAAAGATTTTTTAATTTTTGTATTATTGTTAATTTTATTGAATTAATGAATAAAAATGAATGAATTTAATTCAATTAATTTAACGCAGAAAATATAAGGTATGAATGACTTGTGAAGGATCCACATTTTTCAATTCAAAGCAACATAAATGGTTTACAAAGAAGCCATCAAATCTCCATTGGGGGTAGAGTAGGACCAAACTCTAAACTTTGTGGATGTGTAATTTTTTTTTTTTTTCCACACTTTATGCAAAATTTACTTGGAGTGTAAAGATTTTGAAGAGTATAAGGAACACTTGTGACGGTGTTCGGTACTAAACGTGCTCTTCAAAAAGGTGAAAACGGGTGTCTCCTCTCCTTGTAGAGGTTCCTGCTCATTTCACAGTAGCAGTCTCTCTGTTCATCAGAGTTGGGGTTTTTGCCAAGATGTCATGGTACATTGGGATGGTTTCCTTGAAATCTCAAGTCCCTCATTTTTGTGGGTGGTTCACTAGGATGGATTCATGTCCCCGGCGGATTGTTGGATTGTGTGCTTTGACCAGCGGCCAAAAGAATGGCTATTATACGTCGATCTTCCCCTTTGATCCAGGTATTGTATTGGGTTTCCTTATTTCCTTTTTAGTTCTAATTTTATATATGTGTTGTTTTGGTGTTTGTCTACTCTCGGTGTTGGCTTGGGTTTCCTTGGGTCAATCAGTGGTAGGCGTTAAGGATCCACCAATAGCCATGGCCTATGGGGCTCGGGTGGGTATTGCTGATTTATTCCTCCGGTGAGTTTGTGCCTGATGCTTGAGATTTCACTTTACCGTTGTGTTTTCGTGTCTATGTGTTGGGTTTCGATGTGGCTTTCCCATCCCGTCGCATCATCGTGGTGTTTGAAGGTGTATTTACCGTTAAATTTGGGAATTAATTTAGGGCTTCTGTGTGTTGTGCGGAGCTCGATAGCATGTCTTTCGGTCATGAACCGTCCTTTTGCTCTAGTTAGCGATGCTGTGATGTTTCTGTTTTTAACTATTTTCCATTTTTGGGAATATTCTGATTTTTTAGGGACATTTTCGTCTTTTCTCGTTTTGCTTACCGGACACCGTGGTGTGTGCCGGTTGTGTCCGAGATTTGATTGGGGCATTTCATTGAGTTCAGGACTCTTTGAAATGTAAGGGTTATCATTTCAGCATTTTTCAGTTTTTCAGGCCGGACGGTCCCGAGTGGGACTCGCTACCAGAATTGTTGTATACGGGAGTTGTCTCTTGGGTCCATTGCATATCATGTTTATTCATTTTGTACATAATTTTATATGGTGGTGTGCTTAAATATATGGTTGTAATAAATTATGTTTATACATATATAAATATAGAGGTAGAAAATTCAAATGGGTGGGATTTTTCTTAGTGGTGGGACCCACCACTAAGCATTTTGTGACCATGAGACCAATTTTAGTCTCATTTCTCCTCTCTCCCCGGCAGCCCCTCTCTTCTTCTTCTTTTCTTTTCTTTTTCTTCTTCTATTCAAGCTTTCAAGGCTTAATTAAGCTCACACCCTTGGGAATTTGACAGAACATTGTGAAGCAAAATTGTTGAGCATGTTGAAATCTTCAATTTGATAGAAGCCAAGCATCATTTCATCACTCTTAGATTTCGAAATTAGGGCTTGGTGTTGAGAAATTTGGGGCTTTTCTCATTGTTGAGGTAGGGGTGTTCTAATATATGATTTCATATGTTTCTTGTGAGTTAATTCTTTAATTGCATGCTTAATTAATTAAAATTCTTACAAATTGTTTAAATATTATGTTTGGAATGTGTGTGTATGTGAAAGTTGATACAATGTGTATGAGCATGCCTATGTGCAATGGAAATTGTATCTTGTATACCTAACTAGCTTGAATTCTTGCAAGTTACTTATGTGTTGTACATAGGAACTATGGGATTATGTACTAGTTGTCAATTTGTGTAATAGCATGCACTTGTGAAATGAAAATTTCTCTTTATAAAATTAATATGCTAAATTAATGTTGAATGAAAGCATGAGGTACTTGTTTTAGAAATTTAACTTGCAAGCATGTGCGATGTTTTATAGTGGGATTAACAATTAGAAGCATAAGGCATTCATGCATCCATTGGGAAAGGAAAAAGGGAAAAATGTTTTAAAAGCAAGTGAAAGGATTTTGGGAAAATTGATTTTGAAAAGTGTTGCGAAAACCGGATGCCTAAGAGGCACCTAGTGGTCCGTGTTCTTAGTGTAGTTTAGAAGGGAGTAAGGTTGAGCTAATTAGGCCGGATGTGACGCCTTGGAGGTGCCTTGTGGTCGTGGATAGTTAGTTAACCCTCCATTCGTGACGCCTTGGAGGTGCCTTGGGTCGGATTACACTAACGATTTGGAAGTTGAAACGGGAATGTTTCGGAAAATGGGGAGCGACATGAGCATGGCATTGCACTTCATTGGCATACATGGCATGATTGTGACTTGGGTGGTATATGTGTTTATATCGGATGTTGTGGTTATGGTATACATTCCTGGTGTAATATAATCCCGTTCCTTTATTTTCTATTCTATACGTGGACTCACGAGGTCATAAGAAGTGTGTCTTAGACACTTCCTACTGAGCGTTTAGCTCACCCCATTATTTTAACATTTTTAGGTTCAGGAAAAGAAGTGGCGGGCGACAATCCACCACAAATCTTAGTTTGGATTAGAAGGATGTATCTTTTTGCTACCTTTTATATTAGGCCTCATTTTGTAAAGTGTTGACCCAAATGTATCATTTTGCAGCATGTGAAATATTTAAATACATTTTGTATATGGCCATTGGAGAAATGTAATTATGTTTAATTACACTAAATTATTTAGTGTATTTTATGTAACGTGTTGTAAATTATGTTAACATTGTTGTTGTTGTTAATGTATTAGATGTTAAAATGTATTTAAATATGTACGTGAGTGTAGTGGCGTAGGTGGTTGGTTATTAAATGTTGGTGTATTTTGGTTTTCTTTGGACAGTGGGTAATTGAGTGTGGATAACCCAAACCAGTTGACGTAAAATCCCATACGTCGACCGGATGACCTGAACCAGTCGACGTGAATTTCCCACACGTCGACCAGTATCTTAGCAGTGAGCATATTCACTGTACAAGTCTTGAACCAGTCGACGTGTAGCCTTTCATACGTTGACTGGTATCTTGGCAGTTGGCTTTTCCACTGTACACGTCCCAAACCAGTTGACGTGTGACTCCCCATACATCGACCGATTCCTGTGTAGTAAACATTTGTGACTTATTTTCCCATTTTGCCCTTGACCACTCACTCAAGTGTATTGTTACACATTATAAGATACAGTAAAATACAATAATTATATTTTAACCATGGGAATGACTATATTACTCCGAACTTTATCTTATTTATTATGTGACATAAGTAAATGACCATTATGCCCTTTGAATCTCATACTATTAGATTTGTGACAAATGACCATTTTGTCCTTGTTGGGTTTTAATATACAAATTTAATGTGAAAGGACCATATTATCCTTGGATGATTTTGGGTCGGGTAAGGACCCGTTTAATGATCCGGATCCAGTGGATTTGAGTTGTTACAAATTTGGTATCAGAGCATTAGGTTCGAATACCTAAGGACGACGGGTGGGGTTGACCTAAGTGGGACTTAGATTGATTTCGAAGTATTGCATGTTAAAGTGTTACTATTTTGAGAAGCATCTTTACTTGTTACTTGCTTATATGTTTACAGTTTTGAAAGCATGCCTACTTGCTTACCTACTTACCTGTTTATATGGTTATGTGCTAAGTGTTGACATACTTATGTGCTTAAATGTTAAAATACGTGTTACATAGTTAGAATGTTTATGTAATAACGATTGAAAGCATGTTATACGTGAAAAGATGGCAAGCTGTGAGTATGGGTTATGGTATGTAAGTGGCACATGGTAATGTGACGGATAGTTGAACAATGGCTTGGTCTTTTAGCTCGTGGGCTGAGCTATTCGGTGTGTAGTTATTTTGATT